TCCTTCTGGCTGGCTACATCATCTTTGACAGCTTCACCTCCAACTGGCAGGACGCCCTTTTCACCTACAAGATGTCTCCCGTGCAGATGATGTTTGGCGTCAACGTTTTTTCCTGCCTCTTCACGGTGGGTTCGCTCTTGGAGCAGGGTGCCTTGCTGGAGTCGGCACGCTTCATGGCCCGCCACTCGGAGTTCACAGCCCATGCCGTGCTGCTCTCAGTATGCTCTGCCTGCGGCCAGCTCTTCATCTTCTACACCATCAACCAGTTCGGGGCTGCTGTCTTCACCATCATCATGACACTCCGCCAGGCCTTTGCCATCCTCCTCTCCTGCCTCATCTACGGGCACACCGTCACTGTTGTGGGAGGGCTGGGTGTAGCCGTTGTCTTCATGGCCCTCTTCCTCCGTGTCTACGCTCGCAGCCGCATGAAGAAGCGAAGTAAGAAGCTACCCCCGGGCGAGACCCCCGTACAGAAGGTCTAAGGAGCTGGGGCCATGGCATCTGAGCGTGCCCGCTGTCCTGCCTCCGGTCAGGGGCACTTGCTTGATTTCTCCCCTCTTTGTGAACCCACTGAGAAGCAGGGTGGGTGATGGATAGGCTGGACCAGTGATTCGCCTTTCCACCTGCTTTTCCTGGGAAAGGGGCTGGAACAAGCCCAGGGGAAGCCAGGCATGCTCCGAGCTGCCACAACTCCAAGCCTTTCCGTTTGCCTTAATAGGTCAAGACTTCCAGCCAAGGCATGGGTCTGGGAGCACAGATTCTGGGAGAAAACCAGCATGGGGCTGCTGGGACTCCTGCCCTCACCCTACCTTTGACTCACAGCTTCTCTCCAAGGTCACTGATGAACAAGGGAGCCTTTTTCCCTGGCACCATCTTGCCTCTGGCTAACACTCCTCTGCTTCTGTCACTACTATGGAGCTCAGAAGGAGGGGAGAGCAAGAAAAAAAAAAAAAACACTATCTTTGAAACACCTCCATGCAAGACAAGTGCTGAGCTGAGCCTTTCCTAAGGGGGAGCAGGGAGGAAGCTCTCAGCCCCTCCAGCCTGGCCCCCCCCCCCCCCCAACCAGGAGGTGCTCCAGGTGGGATAGGTGTGGCTAAGGGAAGGACTCCCAGCCTGTCCTACCCTAGGTGGGAGATCTGCTCTGGGAGAACGCTCTGGAGTCATAACCAGCATCTCCCAGTTTGGTTTTCTTGGGCCCCTGCCCCTGTTCCAAGTCACTTTGCTTCTCCCAATCCAGGCTGATTTTTATGAAGAGCGTGAGGCTGGCCAGCTGAAGGCTTGCTGAGTTGTTTTAGGTTGCGTTTCAGTTACATCCACTGTTGTACAGGTCAAAGGCTGCAATGCCTCCAGCATCACCTTGGGGTGGCTCTGTACCTTGGTTTCTGGGCTTTGTAGTTGCCATTTAGAAAAGCACAAATACTCTCTCTTTTTCCTGCTGGCTGGTGACATCAGTCCCAGCTTTCTTGGGGCTGGCCAGAACCAGAGATGGGGGGGGCCGAGTCCACTGCTGCACCTTGTCCCTGCTCCACCAGCAGTGGGGATGGAGGGAGTGGAAGCTACTTCCCCCAGCGCTTCCCCAGGAGCCCAGGTTTTAGTGGTTAACCCTTTTTTCCCCTAACACAGCCTGACTGACAAGCTGGCAGGTTTTGGTACTTTTGAAAGGCAACTCCCCCCCCTTTTTATTTTATTAAATTAAAAAAAATACATATGCTGCATATGATGCCCTGGGGGTAAATGTTCATTTTTATTTTTCCATGTACCTGAAAGAAAGGGAGCAACTCCCCAACTCTTCCATGTCCCAGGTCTTTCTGGGACAGTGAGACCTTCTGTCTTTCCTTTCCAAACGCCAGTGCTTTCACCCATGAGGGTAGTAGCCAGTTTTGGACACATAGCTGCAAGGCCTGATGGCACCTCTGAGCAGCTGTCTGCACACACAACTGGGGAGCACAGCCAGGACTGGCCTGCTGCTTGTGCTAGCTGTGGGTAGGACACAGGCCTGCCCTGGACCAGGAGTAGTGGGGGCAGGGGGAGATGTGGAGGAACTGTTAGTTTGCAGCTACCTGATCCTCTCTCTGGCTCAGCTCATGGGTGCCTGATCCCTGCATGGTGCAGCTAGGTCAGCCCCAGTGACTATAGCTCTGTGCTGTGCAGCTGGAGCGAGACGGTGCTGAGGCCTGCTGAGCACATGCCAGCCTCCAAGGCTGAAGCAAGGCGCTGGAGGCACCTGTCCTTTATGGGGTGCTGCTGCACCAATGCCAGCTCTGCAGGTTCCCACACCAGAGCCGGTGAGGGATGAGGTGAGGTGTGGAGTGTATGTCCCCCTGTTTCATGTACGAGGCCTGTGAAAACCTTGTCTTTAAGCTAATGCTGACCTGTCATCAGGAGGTTTCGGGGGGGGGGGGCAGAGATGGAAACTTGGCCTAAAAGAGCTAGAGAAAGGAACAACTCGGTGAGGACGACAGACAAGACAGGGAAGACAGCGTATGGACAGGAGCTGCTTTTCACAGTGCTGAGTGAAGAGTGGAGTCCTGGGGAAAGCAAGTGAGGCAACTGTCTGGCAGCTTTTGGCTCAATGCTGACACTGAAGTGTAGCATCAGTGGTGGGTGGTACATGCTGGTAGAAGGCTGTGCTACTTCCAAGTGCTCTGCTCGTGCTGGTGGTGTGACAGCTTTCCTCACACAGCAGCAGCATGGCCTTGAGTGGAGTTTTGCAGGGAACAAATGCACTGGTGGACAGGGCTGGTTCTTGTTAGACCCAGGGCAGGCTGAGACTGCAGGTCAGCAGATAGGCTGGAGAGCAGGGACTGCAGATGGAGCAGAGGGGCTAGGTTGTAAAGGAGGAGAGCAGCCACTGCCTGGCATGCTGTGGGGGTGGGAGGCAGCAGCATGGTTTGTTAGCCTAGCCTGCAGGATAACAGAGCTGGTGCTGAGTACCCAGGCTTAGCAACACTCGGCTCCCCCAACAGATGCCCTTTATCTGTGTTGTAACATCATATCTTTCCCCTCTCCTCCATTCCCTGGCTAAAAATTGCCCCAGATGTCTTTCCCCACTGACTTCTGTCCTCAATTGAAAATGGAATAGTTTTTCCTTAGTCAAAACCAAGCAGTTGCTGCCTGCCAGCTTGGGATCCCTTTCTGATTTAAATCTAGTTCTTAAAAAAAAAAAAAAAAAAAAAAATTTTTTTTTTTTTTTTTTAGGAAAAACAAAACCCTTCCCCTCCAAGTTAGAAAGGAGAATTGATGAAATGATCCCAGCTATTTTGGCAAAACCTTCCTATCCTGGGAGAACTCTTAATCTTAACTAGGCTTTTTTTTCCATCTCAGGGAAGGAAAAACCACCCTGAAGCATTGGCTAGCTAAGCTCCAGCACCATTACGGCTCCAGTGGCTGTGCTGCAGGGATACTGCATGCTGCAGTGCATGCAGCAAGGGCCTCCAACTCCTGCCACAGGCTGCCCTCTGCCGCCTAGGGCTAGCACAGCCCAGGGCTGTGGGCCCCAGTGGCACTGCATGCTGGGACACAGAGACACTGCCTTTTCCACATGCAAGATGGATGCTGGCTGCAGCCCACTCCATTTTGTGCTGGTGGTTGCTGGCAAGCAGCCAGCACTGCACTCAAAAGTTGGTGTCGCTTCCCCTGCCAAACCCTGTGCAGCCACCCTGACAGAGCGTGACAAACCCCACTCCAGGGGTGCAGCTCCTTGTGTGCAAGCATGGTGCAAGGCAAGGGGCAGACAGAGCAAAGGTGATGCTCTGCAACCCCAGCCTCTCAGTCATCCAGTACAGAGCAGCAGCCCACCACCTCCTGGCTTTTGCAACAGCCCAGAGGTATAAAAGAGCCCAGAAACAAAATGTTGGAGATGAAAGGAAAGGCTGGAGTAGAGTGCCCAGAGTGAAATCAGTCTGGCATGAAAGCTGAACAGAGGCAGCGTAAGTACAGTCCTGAGCTGTCCTTTCTCCCCTGCTGCTCTGCACTTGCAAGGGAAGAGGCACATGGCTCCTGCCACAGCGCCAGTCCCCAGAGATGCTCAGATGAGACCAGCCAGAAGCACTGCAAGCTCAAATCCTGGCACAGCTTACCCAGCTGACAAGCACAGCTTGATAAGGTTTGTTCTCTAGGCCAAAGAGCATGCAGGACTCTACAGGGGAGAACTGGTGCCAAGCTAGAGATGAACCCTCCTGCCCAGGAGAAGGCAGGTGTGCCTCACCTACCTACTTGGTACTACCTGGGCAAGACTGGAGGTGGAAAAGGATCACTTAAAGCAGAGCTCTCAAAACTAGTCAAAGAGAGACCAGCTGCCTGGTACCCTGGGGCACAGGCCGAGACCTCTTCCCTCCATCTGACAATTCAGGGAGAACATGAGCAACTCGAGAGCCTCGTGGTGGCTTTTAGAGTGCAGAGGCAAGGGGAGCTGAAAGCCTGCCGTTCATCCCTCCATCCCCTCCAGCGGCTGCTCTGGCTGCATTTCAGCCTTCACAGCACATGAAGCTAGAACAGGCCCTTAATAGTCCTGCGCAAAAGAAGAGGGACGCTAAGCCACAAGCTTGATGCAAGACAGGAGACAAAGGGTATGGGAGCTGAGTTCCCAGTTCCGCTCAGAGGCAGCAATTCCCCCCCACCCCCAACCTTGTCCACAGGGGACACACAGTGGAGCAGTTTCCAGCAGGAGAAGCTAGAACAAGGATTTACCAAACCTGGCCCCACTGGAGGGCTGCATTAACTCCATGTAACCCCCCCACCACCACCACCACTACCTGTTCCTAGCAGGGGGCAACAGCCCTGACTCCAGTCACTGCAGCCCACTAATACAGGGAAATTGTGTTTGCAGACAGAACAGACGTGTGCAGAGATGTACATTCAGCCTATTCCTCCACAGAGCAGCAGCTAGGCTCTGCCCAATCCTCTCCCAGGACTCATAGCCTCTCTGGATTTAAGGTCCTTCATCTTCCTCTGGGCAACACCAGCCTCAGGCACAAAACACAAAGGACCCCTCCATGTAAACCACATTCTTTGATACTTTAATTCCAGCAGAACAAAACAACCACCATCAAAAAAAAAAAGAACCAAACCAACCAAAATGCAACATCCTACCCTGGGAGTGCAGGGAGTCAGCAGCTCAGAGGAAGGGCTCTCCCCAACTCAATAAACTGAAGTGAGTGTTTGATGCCTAGTGGTAAACATGGCAGACCCCTGGGAGAGAGGGGAAGCCTAACCCCTTCTGTCTCCCTTCCCCATCAGCTGTTCCTACACAAGCAGAAAGACATGTACCACAAAGGCCTGAGGCTACCCACCTCACTCGCTACTGACAAATAGAGAACCCCTCCCCCCTAAAAAAAAAAAACCAAAAAATCACAAATCCAAAAAAAATGAGACACCACCAAGTAGTCATTAGCAGCTGGTGGGACCAGACCCCCTTCTGAGCAAAGATGAGATGGGGAAGAGGCCTGACCGGAGAGAGAAAAGCCCTCCTCCTACTTTAGTCCACCTCCTCCATGCGGGATGCGTCTTCCTCTCCTTCTAGAGGGGGGATTTCATCCTGGACAGCTGCGGTGGGCTCCTCTGCAGTCACCTCATCTTCATCAATACCTGGAAGAGGGGAAGAGAAGGAACAGATGAAGCTTGCAGGTGACACGGCTATTAGCACCCAGGCGTTATCCCAAACTATGGCACTGCACGATTAGTATTTTTGTCCAAAAGGCCCAGAGAAAAAAGCTGGGTGCGAGTACAAGCTATTTCATCAGATGGGCCTCATCTCCCACGGCAAACTTTTGATATTCACTGTGAAGACCTGAAAAGCCCCAGCTTGCTGTCTGAGTGATGGCTCCTGTCCTCACAGAGGACAGTCCATTCCGAGCACTGAGCCCTCCTTAAGTAACTCGCCCCAGGTTTCCACTTGCCCATAGCCACCGAACACACATGGCTAATTCTGCATGTCACACCAGCACAGCTCACCTACCCGCCCCCCAAGACAGCTGCATGCTGTCTGGCTGGCCAGGCCAGCAAAAGCCAGTATGCTCGGCTCTACCAGGGGCTTATTACCCCTTCCCAAACAGCCTGTGTTGGAGACAGCACCTCAGGCAGTTTGGGCACAGAGTCAGGCCAGAAACAGAGGACAGAAAGGACTGTGTGTTAGCACCCTTGCACAGTAGCCAATGCAGGTGAATTTTCTAACAGGTTAGGACAATGCCATTACAAGCAGACCTGCAATGAGCTGAAGCCCAACCCACTGACATGGTTCAGGACCTGCTCCAGGCTCCAGGAGCTGCACGGACACCTACCAAGCCCCAGTTTGATCATCCTGTAGATGCGGTTGGAGTGGGTTTGGGGATCTTCCAGGGAGAAGCCAGAGGACAGCAGAGCTGTCTCAAAGAGCAGTACCACCAGGTCTTTGACGGCTTTATCATTCTTGTCAGCATCAGCCTTCTGGCGGAGGGTTTCCACAATTGGGTGGTCCGGGTTGATCTCCAGGTGCTTCTTGGCCATCATGTAGCCCATGGTGGAGTTGTCCCGCAGTGCCTGGGCTTTCATGATACGCTCCATGTTGGCCGTCCAGCCGTAGGTGCTGGTGACGATGCAGCAGGGAGATGAGACCAATCGGTTTGAGATAGTTACCTGCCGATTGCAGCCAAGAGTTAGCAGAGCATGGTCCCCACGTGCTCTGGACTAGGCCCAGCCACAGCACACACAGGAAACCCCAGGTCCTTGTCCCAGGTTCACCTGGTGACAACCCAAAGCAAACAGGGATCCTCCAAGCAGCTCCAGGATTGCTGCACAGGACAGTGTGGGCAGCTCAACCAGCACCTTCAGTACCCGCTACATGTTTCCCACACTTACCCTCTCCCATCAATGCACGTATTTGGGTCACTGCCCTTCATCTGCAGCCTGGCTGCTTAGAGCAAGATGGTGCAGTGCATGCTGGGACCTCCAGTCTCCTTTAGCGGCTCCTCTGCAGGAGATGAGGGAGATCAGAGGCATGCATTGAGCTGGATCTCTCGCCTGTATCACGGAGGGCCCAGCCCTCATCCCTCCAGCCCAGGACACAGCCCTGGGCTGAGCTCCTTGCCAGTCTCACCTTCTCCACCTTCTTGTCCAGAATCTCCTTCATGAGCTTGCAAAGCGTCTCAAACTTGGCCTTGCTCTCCTCCATCTTCTTCTTCTCCTCCTCATCCTCAGGCAGCTCCAGCCCCTCCTTGGTGACTGACACCAGGCTCTTGCCATCAAACTCCTTGAGCTGCTGCACGCAGTACTCATCGATTGGCTCTGTCATGTACACCACCTCAAAGCCACGCTTCCGCACACGCTCCACAAAGGCTGAGTTGGCCACCTGCTCCTTACTCTCCCCTGTGTTGGTGGAGGGTAGAAAGGAAACGTCACCAAGATTTAATAGTTACAGGATGACAAACAGCTCCTAGCAAAGTGTGGCTGCAGCTGGGATCTGGTACTGTTTTCCTTTCCCCAACCCACAGGGATGGGCTGTGACTTGGTAGAGAGGGCCTGCTGAAGGCAGCAGGACCTGCTTGGAGGCATGTGCCTGAAGATCAGGCTTCTGTTAGGCAGGTAATCTCCTCCACCTCACTATGGCACAGGGGAAGTCTGGCTCACCTGTGATGTAGTAAATACTCTTTTGCGTCTCCTTCATACGGGAAACATATTCTGAAAGCGAAGTCACCTCATCGCCTGACTGGGACGTGTGGTAACGCAGCAGCTCTGACAGGCGCCTTCGGTTGGTTGAGTCCTCATGGATGCCCAGCTAAGGTTAGAGAAGACATATGAAGTCTCCCGGATGGGACTTGCACACACTCAGCCACCATCAGGGCACAGCCATCTCTGCCAGTGCCCTACCTGCATAAGCCCTGGGCCAAAGGCAGTGAGAGGGACCAGCTGCCCACAAAGGCTCTTCTAGGACACTTTAGAGCCTCCCCTCTACCCTAGCACCCGCAAGATGCTCATGGTGCAGGGAAAAGCTTGTTCCTCAGCACATAGGTCACAGGTCTCCCTTTTCCCAGACACAGGGTGCCTAGCTCTCACCTTAAGGTTCTTGGAAAAGGCCTCATAGAATTTCTTGTAGTTCTCTTTGTCCTCTGCCAGTTCAGAGAAGAGCTCCAAGCACTTCTTCACAATGTTCTTGCGGATCACCTTGAGAATCTTACTCTGCTGGAGCATCTCACGGGAGATGTTGAGAGGCAAGTCCTCAGAGTCTACCACGCCCCGGATAAAGTCTGATGAGGGAAAAAAGAAAGCACGAGTCAAGCTAAGAGCTCTGAGCTTCATCACAGGAGGGGAAGTGCTGGGCAAGACACTGGCTGCTGCTCCCCCACACCAGGCCAGTGCTTCAGTCAGCCACTCTGCACCACAGGCTGTAGGGGTTCCAGCTTCAAGCTGGGCAGCTGAGGGCAGGGGAGCTCTTACTCAAGTACTCAGGGATGAGCTCATCACAGCTGTCCATGATGAAGACGCGCCTCACATATAGCTTGATATTGTTCTTCTTCTTCTTGTTCTCAAAGAGGTCAAAGGGGGCACGGCGTGGGATGAAGAGCAGGGCCCTGAATTCCAGCTGCCCTTCTACAGAGAAGTGCTGTGGGGCCAGGAAAGAAACACAGCTGCTGTGATGATTCCCTTCTACAGCTTCTGTCAGGACCCAGCGGCCTGCTCTGGGCAGGCTGAACTGCCATCCCACAGGGCATGCAGAGGGACACAGCAGGCTCTCCAGCATGCAAACAACCTGCATTTCCCTCTCTTCCTCCTCAGCTCCACTGTCTCCTGCTACCCTGACTGCCAGGACTGTCTGGCGTTCAGCAGCCCTAGATGACGAAGTCATGCTGCTCCAAGGCCCAACGCCCTCCCATTCTCTTTTGAGGGTAGCACTGCTCATCCTACTGCCTGCACAGAAGTCACAGGGCAGGCTGAGGCACCACCAAGTGGCCTAGGAACTCTCAGTCCTGCACTGAAGCACAAACACGAGGTGGCTTTAAACATGGAGTGGAAAGGAATCCTTTCGTCTTTTTCAGCACCCACCTTGACAGCCAGGTGGTCTTCCCAGTCATTGGTGAGACTTTTGTAGAACTCGCCATATTCCTCCTGGGTGATGTCATCAGGGTTGCGTGTCCAGATGGGCTTGGTCTTGTTCAGCTCCTCCTGGTCAATGTATTTCTCCTTAATCTTCTTGGTCTTCTTCTTCTTCCCTTTATCTCCCTCTTCCTCCTCATCAGAGCCCACATCCTCGATCTCGGGTTTCTCCTCATCCTTGGAGGCTGACTCCTCCTCCTCCTTCTCGCTTTTCTCCTCTTCTGCTTCATCATCACTAATCTCTTTCTCACGCTCTTTCTCCAGCTGCCAGGAGAGGAACAAGAGAAAGTCAGGGCCATGAGCCCAAGCTTAGCCCCAAGCAAACACTATCAGGAGTCCTTTTGCCCCAGAGAAGAGGAACACACGCACTCCTGAGCGTAGCTGAAATCAGCTCCAAGAGACCTCTCATTGCTCACAGGACTAAGGGCTGGGTCTGAGGAGATGAAGTGAGGGGCAGAAAACTCTCCTGTCTGCAAGGCTGGTTTACATGATCTCTACACGCACAGAGATCAAGGGCCAGGAGCATGACTGGATGCCCCCCACCTGCAATAGGCCCCCAGCCTCAAAACACCTCCGGCCGAATAAGGCTGGGAACACCGTCGCTCAAAACACAGCAGCCAGGAACTGGAAGGGAACGGAAGACACACTACTCTAGTTTTCTCCATCTTTCTGTTCCCAACATACGTCTCTGCTCTAGCTTTCCAGTTGGTCCCCAAACTCCTTCCCTTACTTACATAGAGTGTAATAGGGTAGCCAATGAACTGGGAATGTTTCTTCACCACCTCTTTGACACGCCGCTCCTCTAAGTACTCTGTCTGGTCCTCTTTCAGATACAGGATCACTTTAGTGCCCCGTCCAATAGGCTCACCTACAGTGTAGAAAGAGAAACGTTAGCGCTAGAGGCATAGGGCAGCTCCTTAGGCCCAGCCACTACTAGGTACTTCACGTTAACAAACTCGAGTTTGTTAACTCAAGTCCAGCCCAGGAGAACACCACAAAGGGGGGCTTTCTGGATGACAGAGATAAACTTACCTTTGTACAATACATACCATGGTCAGTCCGAACAGTGAAGGAACCCCCGGCAGATGACTCCCAAGCATACTGCTCATCATCATTATGCTTAGTAATAACCACAACCTTCTCAGCCACCAGGTAGGCTGAGTAGAAACCCACACCAAACTGCCCAATCATGGAGATATCTGCACCTGCCTGCGGAAGCAGAAAACGACAAATAAAGAGAGAAGGACGCAAAACATGCCTGCAAGTGATTCGCAGCAGCAGAGAACTAGGTCAGCAGGCAGAGATAAAGTGGGAAGTGCCCAAAGGCAGGCAGCCCTACCCTGAGCTCCTCCCTGCTACAGGAGAGGTGGGGAAACATACGTAGGCAAGCCAACAGCTCCCACAGCAAGACAGAGGCAGGGCTGGGTGCTGACTGTCGGGCATGCTTCTATTGTAAGGAGGGGGTACACCCCAGTGAAAGTCTAGGGCCCAGGCTGCAAGAAGCCAACACAGCCAAAGGCAACCCACCTGCAGGGCTTCCATGAAGGCCTTGGTACCAGATTTAGCAATAGTGCCCAAGTTGTTGATGAGATCAGCTTTTGTCATCCCAATACCAGTGTCCACCAGGGTGAGCGTGCGGTCTCGCGGGTTGGGCACAATGTCGATCTTGAGGTCCTTGCCGCTGTCCAACTTGGAGGGATCAGTCAGGCTCTCGTAACGGATCTTATCCAGCGCCTAGGAGGGGGAGAGCAGAGCGCGTGCCTTGGCCTCGCGACTCCGCGGCCACCTCCCGCGGGCCGCCCCCGGCCCGGGCACCCCGGGAGGGACACCAGCCCGCCCCAGGGCCCGGGGAAGGAGAGGAGGGAGGGCAGGGGAAGGCCCCACGGGCGGGTGGGCCGAGGCGAGGCTCACGTCGGAGGCGTTGGAGATGAGCTCCCGCAGGAAGATCTCCTTGTTGGAGTAGAAGGTGTTGATGATGAGCGACATGAGCTGGGCGATCTCCGCCTGGAAGGCGAACGTCTCCACCTCCTCCTCCCCATGCTGCACCTCCTCAGGCATCTGCAAGGCAAGCACAGGCCGCTGGCACCGGGGGCACGGGGC